CCCCAAAACCCCAAACCCCAAAACCCCAAAACCCCAAAACCCCAATTTGAATAAAATTCAGGAATCCATATTAATTTAGCACTTTTTCTTAATCATAAATGGGAATTCTAAAGTTCTGGATGACTAGCTATTCTTGTGAGATGACCAAGATTAGACTTCAACCCTATAGTGACATTGATTAGTTCATGCAATTGTGCTGTGTTAGAAATACTTCTTCCTAATAATTCCTGTATAATCTTAAATTTGTCGATATCTTCCTCATTGATAGGCTTCTTTTCTTTCTTATTCATGAGTTGAATCACACCAACAGGCTTATTTCTTTGGGAGGCATAAACAGGCCCGATCATGAAGTTGAAAACCTCAGTAATGCTTGTGAGATTATCAATATCACTAGTGAATTTCATATCTTTCTGGGCATCGTTAGAGATATACACTTCTTCACTGTTAAATATCAGTCCTGTTATCCCAATATTAGAGGGGAATGAGATGATATCACCAGAGTCTGCATACTCATCTCAATCGCTTTCTTCACCCTCCTTTTGGATTTCAGAAATTGTGAATAAGTTCTTTGTCTTAGTGTCCAAAAGAAGAACCCCTACTGATTCAAAGTCAAAGTAAGGCGGCAGCAGATTCTTCACTTCCCTGATTAATGACTTATAGGATTTCTGTGTTGTGATCTTCGATGACAAGCTCATTGTGTCATATAAATGCTTAGTTTGAAATCTGTATCTTCTCTCTGCAAATAACTCATTCATTTTTATCTGAACAAGAGAAGTGAACATCCTGAATATAATCTGATCAATGTTGAATGTTCTAGTTTCTTTGCCACTAAATCCTCTTTTGGCTTTATAGAGAAGTTGAATACCTGCAATAATGGTTTTGTTTGACCCAAAAAGAGGCAAAACAAGACTCTCTTTAGTCTGAACTCCGTACCTTATATCCTCTATCTTCTGGAACACAGGATCACTGACTTCTGACTCATTTTCACTGATGCAGTCAATCCAGTCATTTTCTATCTTGAGTCTTACAAAGTTCAAATTTTCTTTTGAAATCTTATAGTCTTTATGCTTTATCTATATTCATTAAATTTGTGAGTTACAAGTCTGGAATCTGGAGGTTGGTCAAACCTGACAGTCTTCTTATCAAATATGAACACTGTTCAAGATTTACAGTTGATCAACTTCTTTACTTGACTTGTAGAAGATTTAAACATCTTATATAAAGTCTTTCAGTCAGCAAGGTCTTTTATGAATGGTTCAAGTGCCTTCAGTCTTTTAATCTCTACAAAATTTCTTTGTGTAGCTATACCATATAAATTTTTTATGCTAAGCTCTTGGACCGCTTTAGGAGTTGTGTTTGAAACAGGTTCACCAAAATAAAATCCTGCTTCCTTTGGATGATCAGTTCCCGAATTTATTTCAAGCTTCACTTTATCTTGGATACAGTCTTGACTTGAATTCCTTTTAAACTGTCCAGATCCCTGCAGTTGAGAGTTAAGAGAGGTGATCATCCTTCTATATGACCTGAGCACATTATCCTTCTGGGTTCACTCTTGTCTCTTCTTGGAAAGTAATATTTCAAGCTTGTTGTTCTGAGACGTTAGGATATCGATCTTCTGCTTCAAATCAATCACTGAATTGACCATATCTTTCTGAAACATGTTTTGAATCGATGGCATTGCGTGTGTTTTATCTGAATTTTAGAGTAAGAATTGAGCAATTATAGGTAAAGACTCACCTAATTGCGGGATACCTTCATCGTCTGTATATATTGATTGGAAAATAGTATGGTGAAGAGACTCTAATGATGTTAATAGGAGAAATACCTTTATCATTATTGGATAAGTTTTGTGTAAGTCTGCTGATCTCTTTCTCAAGTCTATAATAGAATGGTGCTAAATCTTACACTTTTGTGTAATTTATATATCGTTTTTCTCTTTTCTTATACTTCTCTATTTCCTTATTTAGCTCTTCTGTTTCGTTCTTTTGTACTTTATCCTCGAATCCGAGGTTCTCTGTAGGAAAGTTGCTGTTATAGTTGTTAACAACTATACTCGGAATCTCTATAACGGTATTTTCTTCATTATATTAAAATCTAGACTGTCTAAACCTCTTAGATCAGTATCAACAGAGCGTCTTGTAGATTTCATTTGGAGGTTTCCCATTTCAGCCCTGCTTTTCCCCAACTTTTTCCTTTTACTCACTAAATTTCTTATGATTTCCTTCGGAATTTTCTGAACTCTTCCTTGCTTATAATTATTGACACTTCTATTTATTTGTTATTTTTATTGTAAAGCATTGAGAGTAATTTCTCATAAGCTTGGGATAAATTAGAGTATATATCAAATTAAAAGCAGATTTATCAATATTTGACAATTTCATGTATTTTTTAAACTAATTCTCATAAAAATAAACGAATCTTCAATAATTTTGGAAACATTTTACTCAAAATCTTCTAAAACTAGCTAAAAAATCCACAAGAGAGGAACTAGGCATGAATAATAGCTTTATTTTAAGCAGCTTGACTTAAATTTGAGTATTTTTAACCGTAAGAAACAATAAATTATCTACCCAAAGTCTTAAAATAATATGATTTGATTTTAAAATAAGCCAAATGCAAGTTTGTTGCATTGAAAGCTTGATGATGAGCTCATATGGGAACATTTTCCTTCTGGTTTTATCTTTAAAACCAAACCTCCAAATTATGGCCCAAGAGCTTTCAACAATCCTTCTAAATTCTAGAGCATAACATTTTAGGCCATTGGCTTATCCTCAATAATTAGAGGGGTAATAGAGCATCTTACTGGGAGTTAAGGATTTTTGATAAGTTTACATGGGTTTTGTTCATGATAGATTTCAATCTTCCACTTTGCCTGTCTTTATCATCCATGCTAACCCTGAACATTGATTTTCTTTTTAACTTCCTATTTATAGATGAGAGTCTAAAATTGAAAAATTTCACTATTCGATATTTAAATCGAGCAGGAAATTTCTAATTCATAAATAATTTGAGAAGTACATAAAGTCTTATATTGGCCACGCCAATTGCTCTATCATCTCCAATCAATAATTCTCAACAATCACAATCCAAATCGACATCTCCAGCTCATTTCAAGAAATTATTCAAATATCCTCTACACCTTTACCTTTTATTTCCAATGTCTTCAGTAGTTTTTTGAAGCGAATTCCTATTTCCTTTCTTCATTACTTTTATCATTCCCGAGCTAAACTCAACTAAAATCCGACCAAATTCCTTAAAAATCCCACTAAAACTCCACTCACCTGTCAAAATCTGCCTCCTTCAGCTCTTCTCCTTCACCAAGCCTCTGTGGGCGGTGCCCATCAGAGGCCTTCAGCACAGGCTGAGTGCCTGTTTTGGGCAGGGCTGCCTGTGGAGTCTTGAGTTGGATAGAAGAGATCGTCCGGATTTTTAGTGGGATGTTGGAGTAAGAGTTCATGTTTGGAATTATTATTTTAAGAATTGAGGAGTGGGAGGGGTTTTGGGGTTTTGGGGTTTTGGGG